GGGAACCCTGCCAACCCCAAGGGGATGGGGGGGTCCCGGGGGGGCTCACCCGGAATAGTGCAACGAGAGAAAGCAGCCGGGAGTGCAGGGGCGAGGGGGGCTCGCCAAGGGGGGGGGCTGCTCGGGGAATTGAAGGGGGGGGGCTCCGGGGTTAAGCTATATACAGCGCGGGACGAGCGGCGGGGACCCCCCCGCCACCCCACCGGGAACCCCCGCCCGGTGCCGCGCTTCGGTTCCTGGGGATGGAACCGGGGGAAAAGGGGGGGTTGGGGAGGGGGGGGGTCCGGTCCCTGCACGGCGGCGGGAATACGGAGAGAGGGGAGGGAGGGAGGGGGGGGGGGGGGGAAGGAGCGGCGGCGGCGGCGGCGGGGCCCCCCCCGCCCCATTGTGCAAATCCGCCAGGGGGGAATTTCCCCCTTTGCATAATTCAGAACAAACCGTGACGGGAAAAACAGGAACAGAACGCGGCGGGGCGAGGCGGGCAGCGCCGCTCCGGGACAACGGGTGGAACCGATCCGCTCCTCCCCAGCCCAAAAGGCATCGCCCGGTGCGGGACGGAACGCATCGCTCAGCTCCGGTACCGCACGGAACGGCCGGGGATGAGCTGGGCTTAAAAAACGGACCGGCACGGATCGGCACAGCGCAGAACTCAGGGCTGGTTGGAGCGGCTCGGATGGACCGGCGTGGTGCAGCCTGGCACAAACAGCCTGGCACGGCTCAGCCTGGCACAGGTTGGACCGGCACGGCTCAGCCTGGCACAAACTCAGCCTGGCACAGGTTGGACCGGCACGGGTTGGACTGGCATGGCTCAGCCTGGCACAGGTTGGCTCAGCACAGATCGGCCTGGCACGGCTCAGCTCAGCACAGCTCAGCCTGGCATGGCTCAGCCCAGCACAGCTCAGCCTGGCACAACCCGGCTCAGCTCAGCACAGCTCAGCCTGGCACGGTGCAGCCCAGCACACAGCCCAGCACAGACTGGCACAGCTCAGCCCAGCCTGGTACAACCTGGCTCAACTCAGCACAGCCCAGCCTGGTCCAGCATGGCTCAGCCCAGCCCAGCACAGCTCAGCTCAGCCTGGCATCACCTGGTCCAGCTCAGCTCAGCCTGGCATCACCTGGCTCAGCCCAGCCCAGCCTGGCATTACTTGGTCCAGCCCAGCTCAGCCCAGCACGGCTCAGCTCAGCTCAGCCTGGCATCACCTGGTTCAGTTCAGCTCAGCCCAGCCTGGCATCACCTGGTTCAGCCCAGCTCAGCCCAGCCTGGTGTCACCTGGTTCAGCCCAGCTCAGCTCAGCCCAGCCTGGCATCACCTGGTTCAGCTCAGCTCAGCTCAGCCTGGCATCACCTGTTCACCCAGCTCAGCTCAGCCTGGTGTCACCTGGTTCAGCCCAGCTCAGCTCAGCTCAGCCTGGCATCACCTGGTTCAGCCCAGCCCAGCTCAGCTCAGCCTGGCGTCACCCGGTTCAGCTCAGCCCAGCCTGGCATCACCTGGTTCAGCTCAGCCCAGCTCAGCCCAGCCTGGCATCACCTGGTTCAGCTCAGCCCAGCTCAGCCTGGCATCACCTGGTTCAGCTCAGCTCAGCCTGGCATTACTTGGTTCAGCTCAGCTCAGCCTGGCATCACCTGGTTCAGCCCAGCCCAGCCCGGTTCAGCCCAGCCCAGCCCAGCCTGGCATCACTCGGCCCGGCCCGGCCCGGCCCGGCTCAGCCCACCGCCCCCCATCGTGCCCCACCGGGCCGGCCGCTCTA